CCCGACTCGCCCCGCCGCCCTCCTACCTCGTGCTTGGAGGCGGGAAGCCGGCAGGACCGGCTAACGGCACGGAGCCGTGGGCTGCGGGTGTGAAGCAACGTCCAGCCACCACTGCGCATGGAGGGGCGGATGGAAAAATAAACACGTGTTTCATCGAAGTTTTATTTTTAGCTACTGCCACACATTTCTTAATGAAACTCTAAGACAGAAGAGAGAAATCATCACAGTTGCCCAAAACAATTCGCAGTCGTACTTCAATGGCCTCGGTCAAGTTCCAGCACGGAAAGCGGGCGTTGTCCCTGCTTGTGGTGGGACACGGGACGCTTCCCACGCACCGCGTCGCCTTTTTGCTAACCTCTCGCTGACAGGACAGGCGAGCGGTAACAATACTTCGACTTCAACACTGAATATGAAGTAAGAAAGCCTTTCGAAGTTGTTTTTACCCTGCCTGCCGCGCCAGGATTTCAACAGCTTGGAAAGGAAGCAGCCGCTGCGGCAGCGGCTCTCCCCGCTCAGCAAGCGCTCGCCTGTCCAGCGAGGGTGGACGATGCTCACTCTCAGCGCCCTGAAGTTCTCCGGTCTCAGCTGCAAGAACAGGCTAACGGTTTTCCAATTTTTATTGACAGACAGTTAACCTTAATATACACAAGTCGATAAAATGCCAGAATCCATCTCCAAATGATTTTTCAGAACACTGAAAGCTAGGCAATAAATAATACTTAAATGAAGAACATTCCCTTTAATTGTTTTAATACCCTCCCAGCCTCCATAATAATCTGACAGCCCTTAACAAGAACAGAGTATCTCTGTTACAGAGACAGCATTCCATTTTACCAAACAAAAACCAGAAAAAAATTTTGGCTCAGTAAAACATTGCACAACGATAAACCCAGGCTACCCTTACGTGGTACACGCGCTTGCAATCCCAAAGGAACCATTTTCAGCAGCTACGGAACAGCAGCGAGGGGCTTACTCCGGAGCAATCAGAAGTTGGCAAACATTTTAATCGTGAATTACGTCAAGTGCAAATTAAGTGATTAAAAAAGTGACTGAAATGATGACAGCATGTTAACTACATAAAACATATATTCTAGAGAAGAACTTTAGCTACAGAAAAAGCCTTTTTTTTCCTAAGGAGGAATCAATATTCATGGAATGAAAAAGTAATAAAGTTTCGATCTCTAGAAGACAGAACTACACAGTCTGTAGTTCTGTCCAAACGCTATTTAGGTACTTAACTTTACATACGCTATAGTCAAACCATACCGTTTTGACTATTTTTTATTAAATGCTTCCAGTAAACGCAGCAGGTGTAAGAAGAGATTGATGATATCCAAATAGAGATTGATTGCAGCCAGGATGTACTCTTCAGGGGATAATTTGTGCATCAGCAAATGAGTGTCATAAATAATAAATCCACAGAACAGAAGAGCTCCGGCAGCAGCAAACACCAACTCTATTGTCTCACTGTAGAAAAACAGCTGGAGGCAAATGAAACATGAAAAAAAAATTTGTAAATTTAATTTTCTTTTTAATATTAAAATCCCTGCATAATGATATGCCACTCTTAAAACAGGGATACACACTGTCTTTTCACTGTTATACATACACAAATATGTGTGTATACAATATTACGATGACATTTCAATGTTCTTATTTCATATAGTCCCCAGTCACACAATCTCTTCAACTGAGTAAAAGTGCCTCCACTTAAGAGAGTGCCTCCACTCCAGAGCCTCTCCAGAGGCTTCTGGAGACCAGAAGCTCTGGTCTCCAGAATATTAACAGCAGAAAAATTAGAAAAACAAAATGCAATTAAAACCCAAATCTCCTTCCCATTCTCTCAGTCAAGTAGTGGATCTCGATGGACCAATTTTGACAATCAACGCAAATACCACTTTTACATTAGCAAGAACAGCATCCAACAAAAATCTGAATTGGAAATGAATGGTTATAAGATCATCAGCATGATCTACAACAGTAATGGATCTGGCTAGGAATTTTCCTTCATTAAGCTATATTGGACTGTCCAAAACCTTTTTGTTACACTAGAAGTTAGTAAAAGATTTATGTTACAGAATGTTTTTTAACCTTGAACTCAAGGTATCTTACCCTCAAGAAACCCGAGAAGATTAAAATCCACAAACAAGCGAAGAGCCTGAAAAAAAAATTAAACTGTGAGCAACAATATATTTTCTTTTAAATTTTTAAGTAAAATCTCTTCCCTTCCTATAAAACCTCTTCATAATATATTTGGTAAGTAAATGTCCATAATTCTTAGATGCCAACTGGTATCAGCAGTAAAACTCAGTTTTATAAAGCTGATGAAAGTTGTGTCCTAAATTTACTTTTTTAAAAATATTTGAAGCAGCTGCCCTCTGTCTCAGTGAAAAATCCAGGTAAACTAGTTTTTTAGTGTAATACTATGGTTTTAAGAATCATAATCACAGAAAAGAACTTCTTATCAAGGAAGCAGAACTGCATAAAATTAATAATTTAAGATAAATAACACCCTCACCATTCCCTTGAAGCAGGTTCTATTGACCTGTATTCATTATGATATCTGCAAAGCTTACTTTAGAAAAGGAAAAACTAGCTTAAAAAAAAAAAAAATCATCAATATGACAACATACCCTGCTCCAAATTTGCTGAAGTCTCTCTTTGACTGCAAGGTATATGCAGTCAGTCCAAGAAATACAGCAGTAGTAAGAGTAAAGGCTTGCAAGACGATGGACACATCATAGAAACTCACTATAAACAGAAGAAGTAAACTGTCATTTAAAGAACACTACACTATGGATTTGCTAAGTTATCTTTTGAGGAAACAGAAGTTTAAACTTTCACAGACAGGGAAAAAAAAATCTTACCTGTGAACAAAAAAAGCAAATTATGCCTGAACTTGTCTTTGCACTTCAAAATCATGATCACAGGACTCACGGACCCTTGCACTAGCTAAGTTTGACAGTTATAGTATAGCTGTAGCTTCTTAAATGGAGATAACACATCTTCCCTACTCACAATAAAAAATAAAAAAATAAGAAAATAAGTATTTTTAAGCCTAGATACGTGAGATCTTAATGAAAAAGCTATCTGAATTTTTCAGGATACTGAAACAAGGAAAAAAAAAAAATCACTAGACAATCAGTGCCCTGTAAAGGCTCATAAAAGTTTTGGTTATGGGGTAGGAAGCGAAAGATAAGAGAAATGAATGGAACTTTTTTCTTCCCTCCTTCCTCAATCTTTCCTTTCCCTAAACGACTTTTTTTTTTTGCAGGAGACCATAAACCATAATGAAGAGGTTTCAACTTATGCTGGAAGCTATAGTGCAAGGTGTTGCCCTGACTTGTCTGCACACCGCCCCATCTCAACCCTGACAACAGAGTACAGAGCTCTCCAAACTCAAAGTAATTCCCTTGGAGAAAACAGAGGGGGAGGATAAGGTTATTTCACTTGCACGTCAGCTCTGCTGAGAGCTACCTTATAGGAAAGAGCACTGCTAGCTGTACTGAAAGAATGGATGGCACAACTCATTTCTCACTTCAGGTTTATACCATTTCAGTTCTGGATCAGAATCCAGTTCTCTCCCTTGATTCCCCGTTTCTTGCTAAATTCATATCATTGTCATTAAAATTTTCAAACAGGATTTATTATCACTTTGGTCACATCTAGGAATCTCAGATGGCAATTAGTAGAACATATTGGATTCCTTTTCCAATTTCTTTAAGGAATCAGACAATAGGATGGCTACCATTTACCTGTAATGGCAACTGTCAGTGCTTCCAGTAGGGTCTACAAAAAGTAGAAACAAAAAATTACAAGGACAAAAAAACCCGCACAAAACACTTACACGGAGACTTCACATGCAATGAGCCCCATTCTGCTACATAATCCCAGCATGCATTACATTAGCTCTCTTGTTAAATCTTTGTATATGAAAACTTGTTTAATTTTCAACAAGAAAATGGCAATCGTACTGTCTTACTGTGCTGGAAGTTGTTGTGTTACATAAAAATAATACGATATAAACTGAAAATAAATGAGAGACAGCCCCTATAGAAAAATGCCGTTTAGGTTTTCTACTCAAAGCGCACAGCATTCTTACCACACTTCTTACAACTATTCAAGGGGCTATAAAATTTCTCAGAGCTGCTATTAGAAATGAACTGTTTTCAGCTTTTTGCATACTTTTCAATATTTGAAATACTTTCATCCAACACTCTTAATATCTCATTAGAGAGCTAAGTGTCTGCATCAGTTTCCTTTTCCCACTCATCGTGGTTTTGAAACAGCTAACTTAAAATCAAACATATTATTGATGTCTGGGCTGAAGGCTAGTATGGGCCCTGAGTTTTTCTAAAAGGTAATTCCAAATTAAGTTTCATTACACTAAAAGATGAGACAAGTATCTATGGCGTGAACCACGAGGTCAGAAATAACAGAACATTTAACCCATATTTTGTTTAAACCGATTTATCACACACAGATTTGAATCCCTCTCTTCCTACACAATGTAATATTTAAACTGTCACACCACAAACTCCCATGCCGCATTTGGCCAAACTATTACATCACTCCTTGTTACAGCTGCACTTGTAGAAAGCTTTTAAACATTTTACTCTCCTGCAAGAGTTCCGAAGTCAGGAAGCATGTAACTGCGTTACAATTTAAACAGTTGCTTTACTTACACAGCAACGCTGTCTTCCCGTTGTATTGCAAATACAATTTAGGCAATTCCTAAAGCATCAAATTCCAGTGGTGCTACTGTGACTTCTTTTCAGAAGACTGATACGCTACATGATCCGAAATACCCAAGAGCCCATATCTACAAATTCGCAACATCAGGCAGGAGACTGAAATTTGAGGACAGGTGTGATTGACCTGCCTGTTGGAAACACGCTCAGAATTTAGCATCAAAAAGAAAACAATTAATGAAATAAACACAGATGGCTGGTTGCATTTGGGTCTCTGCTAAAGGTTGTCCATTAAACAAATAAGGTAACAGAAATGCCTCCTTCTTTCCTACTGAGCAGTTTTGTAGAAAAATCACTGATACCAACAGAACAATGAGAGCAGACAGGTGTATTTATACACACATGCGCAAAAAAAAAAAGCTTGCTCAACCTGATTCCAAGTTCTAACACTCTTCCTAAAAAGATGCTGGAAGAAACCTGAAGTAGGAACAATCCGTGGATAGAACCTCCAAAAAATAACTCAGAACTTCCTAAGTGTATAGCCACCACTAGTTTGCTTCAAGGAGTTCATCACGATGAAAGATATTCTAGGGACTACTGAAATTGAATTTATATAAATACTTACAAATCCAAAAAGCAGGTATAAGTTAACAGGATGCTGGTGTCTGTAGAGGGTCAGTGCCACGATTATAGCCAAAGATCCAAACCCAGATATCAAAAGCAAGGCAGGCCTGTAAAGTTTCGTACAAAAGTCATCAAAATTAAAATAAAGTATCTGGAAGACTAAAAAACAGTTTATATAAAACCAAGTTTTTAAGTGATCACCTAGATAAAGATACTGCTCCGTATATCCAAAGTAAATGTAAAGCAAGTTTTACAATAAAACTGCTCTAAAACGTACCACCACAGATAATCAGTTAAAAATAGTACAGTCACAAGACAATTTTTTCATACTGAAGATGAAGATAGCCCAGCAATCCATCACCTGGAGATGAACCCGTATGAAAAGGAAAATCCATCTGTACTAAACTAACAGTATTAAAGTACATGTAATATTTTGCCTGCTAAGAACTCCCCATTCAGGGAACTGGTTTTATAAGCACCTGAATGCAACAAACATGGGCACTAACTGCACCAAAGAAAATCGGTACTGACCAGTAAGTATCGCTGTAATTAAATCATTCAAGCAGCCCTCCAAGCAAAAAGCGGACCAAAGTCAAACACAAAATCACAACAGATCTAAGTGA